TTTGAATTTTCCTTTACAAAAATTAGAGTCATGTTTGTCTGCTTAGCAGTTTAAGGAAAAATTTGGCATTCTGTGGGCTTTGAGATTATCACTCTTAAAGTGCCAGTGTTTTAAAATAGGGCTTTTGTGATTTTACATGCTTTTGTAATGGAGTGCTGTTTTGCTATATAATTTTAACTTGGAATCTTTCCATTTGCATTTGTTTGTGTAATTTCTGGAGGAATACTGAGCATCTGAGTCCCGGATGATACTAATCAACTAACTGCAGAGGTTTTAAATATATTAAAAAAAAAAACAAAATAAAACAAAACAAAATCAAGGACAAAATGGAATCACTCGATGATGCAGACAGAGATACCTTACAGATAATACAAGAGCAAGAAAAGGGTATCCAGCAGCTACTAGATTACAGTGAGAAAGCTAGCCGAAGGCTAATTTACATTTGAGAAAAATGAGAGGGCAGTACACAGAGTAAAATAATCTGTTTTCAGGGCCGGGTTGTAACTCAGGGGCACAGTCTCTGCCTAGCAAGCAGGACAAGGCCCTGAGTTCAGTTTCTGGTACCAAAACTTTCTGTTTACAGAAATCACAGCAGAAAACTTTACTAATATGGGGGAAGAAATCAACAAGTAAGGCTTAAAGACGTCAAATGACCACGATGACAAGCAGCTTCTCCAAGACACTTCATAATCAAAATCCCAGGAGTCAACACAAAGAACATGAAAAGCTGTCAGGGAAAGGAACCCACTTTATAAATGTGAAACAATTAGGATGACAGCAGAATTTTCATTACAAACTTTAAAGGCCAGGAGAATTTTGTTTCAAGTCTGAAAAAAAATAAAACAAAAAAACAAAAATCTTCCAACCCAGATTAATATATCTTGCTTGCAAAACTAACTTTCACAATTGCTGGAGAAATAAGGACATTTCTGTGCAAAGAACATCTTAACAAATTCATGGACACTAAACCCACACTCCAGGAGATTCTCAAGAATATCCTAGACAGAGCCAACAAAGCCAGCGAGGCTCAGGTACCAGACGAAATGAATATATCAAGTAAGGTGAATAGTTGGAACAGAATAAGCAATAATGGGGTCAACCTCAGAAACAGAATGCAATGAGAAATAAGTGAATACTTCTCAAGATCAATGTTTAATACAAATGGCTTCAACACCCCAGCCAAAAGGCAGATTGGCCAGCCGGGTCAAAAAATAAAACTCAACAGTCTGTTGCATTCAAGAGATTTATCCACAAAAAAATTCATAAATTAAAAATTCAAGGATGCAAAACAATATACCAGGGCCCTGAAAACAAACAGTGGTAGAAATTTTAATCTCAGACAAAGTGAACTTCAAGCTAAAACAGATCAGAAGAGGCAAAGGAGGTCACAACCTTTTCAGGAAACAATCCAACAGGAAGAGACAGCAGTTGTAAATGTATATGCACCAAATATTGGTGCACCTAGCTTCATAAAACAAGCAATACTAGACATAAAGGATCAAATACAAACCAGTGCAGTCAATGGATGACCCCAATACCCCACCTTCACAAATCAACAGAAAATTAACAAAGAAATATCAGACCTGTACTAAACCTCCAAACAAATGAAATTAATAGATATCTACAGAGTGTTATACGCTGCTACAATGGAATATACGTTCTTCTCAGCAATGTTGAGAACTTCCTTCAAAGTAGACCACATGCTAGCCCATAATGCCTGATTAAATAAATACAAAAGAATCGAAGTCATCCTCTATATTCTCTCTGGTCATAGCACACCAAAACTAGAAATCATTTGCAACAAAAATCACAGAAAATTTATAAACCCCTCTCTAATAGTACACCCAAGCACTCAGTGTATCACAGAAGAAATCAAGGAAGATATTAAACACTTCTGAGAATCAGATAGTGAGGCCAGTACAACATACCGAAACCTGTGGGACACAAGGAAGCCAATCTTAAGGGAAAACTCTATTGTTGTGAGGGCTCATTATAAAAACAGCATGTCAGGAGTGATCCCAGCACTTGTATGAAAAACTGTACTCAAAAATTGGAGAATCTTAAAAAAATGAACAGAGTTCTAGACCCAGATGAATTATAGACTGACAGACAGACATGAAAGCTGAAAAATAATGAATAATATAATTGAGGAAGTAATAAGAAAAAACCTAACAACTAAGAACAGCTTGGGACCTAATGGATTCACTGCTGAATTCTTTCTCTTTCCTTTTTTTTTT